CACACACACACACACACACACACACACACATACACACACACACACACACACACGCACACACACACACATACTCACACGAAAACAGGGTGTTGTACATGTACTGTGACAATCGGCAATGATGTATTTGTATCATCTGTTTTGTTTTTGTATTGTCTTCCTGTTCTGCGGTGACTTTGCTTTGACGTTTGGGTTATGTGTAAACATCTACTCCAACTAGTGGTGGGCAAAATCCGGATAACCGGATAATTCTCAGTTAAACATTATCCGAATTCAGACTCTTAAACCCTCTTTCATGACCCGTTTGCCGAAATGAGCGCACCCATTTGTTGAAATGGTTCTTACCCATTTGCCGAAGCGGTTCGTAACTCATTTAATCGCCGAAGAAGTGCACTAATATATTATCCGGATATTGCTAAAGCGACTCAATGCCCTGCCTTAGCTTCAACCTTCCATTAGGTACCTGCACAATCTGCAATACACATTCTGAGTCTCCATACTCCGGGGCGACAATGCGGCGGAGCCGTGACGTTTCGCACAAATACCCGAATTCAAAATATTTTTCTAAAAGAATGTGACTGACTGAAATAGGTTTTGACCGATTACTGTTTGAAAACTTTACACTCTCTTATTGTTCTTAAAGTTACCAATAGGGATTTCACAATAATAACAATTAGTGGGGTTGTTTTATTTGTTTGTTCTACAGTACAATTTTACTTTTGGTTCATGAATACTTTGATCATTATTTTTCAGAGCTGGATGTTGTTGAACGGAGATGAGAAAAAAAAAAGTTGGAGAGATCCTTTTTATTTTTCTTTGTTGGCTGGACGATATTGATGAGCATGAAAGAAGTTGAAGTCTCCCCCTATTGTTTCTTTGGTTTCTTTAGTTTTAGACTTTGAAAAAAACCGCTATTTTTGTCAGGGCCGGACCATGTTGAAGAGAATGGAAGAAGTAGAATTGTCCCCCTTTTTTCTCTGACACATTTATTATACTTTGATAATACTCCATTTGTACAGGCCTGGATGACGTAGAGAGGATGATGCCGAGAAAGCCGTGGGTCAATCGTTACAAGTCCTGGCTAGGGGCGCCATGTGCTGGAAGGAGGATCAGAACTGTCTGCATCTTGTCTACAGGTTGGCTCTTCTTTCTCTTTTTCTTATCCCCCCC